CATAAAAACATAAAAAGTAAATATTAATTATAAGAAACTTTTGTTTTTTTCTTTTTTATGGACGAAATCAATTAAAATACTTTCAAGAAAATCATTAAACACCTTCCGTAAATTATAAGACAAAGAAACACCTAACAGTAAACTGTTAACGAAAAAACGAAAAAGTATGAACCAAAATAATTATAAACGTAAATGTATCAGGTAACTTATAATAAGTAACTAATGCCGTCAATAAAGTATTTTTAAAGGTAATAAAGGCGATCCATAAGCTTATTGGATGGTTCTGAACGGATATGGATGCCAACAAGCTGGGCCAATTTATGAGCATACTGACAAGGGGCGGGGACTCTAATGGTGCCAGGCCAATTATAATAAAGATGGCACAATTTGTACGCTAACATTTGCATATGATCTGGTTTTATTTGGCAAGCGTCATATACAACTACATAATGAGAGGGGGTGACCGTACCCTGCCTTACATTTTGTGGTACCAAAAAGAAGTCATACCAATTACGTCGTGTTATTTGGCTATCCATAATAGTACCCGGAGGCGGATTTTCCAAACCGTCCCTACTTTTCAGAAACAAACGAGTATTTATTCGCTTTTGAACCACAACCTGCATTTAGAAATTAATAATTATTTAAAGACAAAAATAAACAATTTTTAAACATTACCATGCATATTTTGGTATTATCCAATTCATATTTCTTCAAGCATTCTTCGAACTGAGCCACTTCATAGTCACGACAATGGGCTAGTTGTCCGTCACCTACGCCATCTCTAAATATTATAATTTTCTGGGGAAATGTTCCGTTTATTTCGTGAAATCTTTCGAGGAGTTTCGCAAACGCAACTTTTAATTGGTTTCCAAGTTCTCTTTCTTGGAATATGGTGATACTAAACCACCGCGTGAAGTTTTCGTTTAAACTACCAACAAAACCACAAACGGATTTGTTACCTTGACTATGATAAACGTCTATGCCAATTACCATCCAAGTCTTAACAGGAAAACGAACCATCCATAGGGTACCCCCCAATTTGCAATTTATTTGTAATGCAATTTTTTGCGTTATAGAACGCACCTGCAAAATGATTAAATTACTCTCAATGAAACTGAATAATATTTAATTAAAAAATGCATTATAATACCTTTTGGGGATTAGAAAGTGTTCTGGAATTGATAACTTGAGTTGCAATAGGAATTGACGTACAACACTTTCGTTTAATAGCAGCATATCGATCGTCTCGTGAAGTTGGACAAATAAATACGAGTACCTTAAAAAGATAATAAATAAATTACTTCCTCCATATATTAAGTACATATATTACAGCAACAGTATAACATTTATTATTATTATAATATTTTGGCATAAATAAAAAACCCATTATATATTATGACAAAAAATAGGTAGAATAGCTTAGACAATATAAAAGAGTAATAAGTACATTAACTAAGTTACCATATAATTTCACATAATCACTTTTTAAGTTGACCCTGAGCAGTAATAAAATTATGTCCCTTGCAATGGAGTTTACTGAATGCAGTAATCTTAATATTGATTTAATCTAGTAAAAACCCATTCCGCTTGTAAATATCTTTACCTGAATATCTGCTGAAACAACAGCATTTATAGCTTCAATGTAGCTGTTAGTTCGATCATCCCTCAATTCATGTAATTCTGGCTTGTTTACATTAATTCCCATTGGACCTGTTAGACGACACATATTTTGAGCAAAGTCTCTAGCATAGCTAAAAATATTTCAAAAAACAGTAAATGATGAAACTATATAGCACTATATTTACTTAGTATCTCTGGCTGTATAAAATATAACCCATCGTTTTAAGTCTACAGGACCTAAGCAGCTATATTTGCATACAACATTATTCCAATCAGCCTTATCAGAAATTGCTTCATTATTCCCGCCAAATATTATAGTTTCTGGGCTTAGAACTCTTGCTTGCAAATCTATAGAGCCATCTTCAAGTTTCAAGCCCCATTCCCCTAAGATTTTGTGTGACTGAGGATTATTTCTAACATTTTTAATATACTGCATCATCGCCTTCAATCTCTGGTTAGGAGTGACCCGTGTATATTGTGCAACATCTTTCATAACTTTAAAATCTGATCTCATCTCATCTGTAAGGCCAGTCATAAAACATAATTCAGGTACTAGGCATATATAAAAATCTTCTTTATCAGAAGAACCTGCTTTTTTCCGAGTGACTTTATTTAAAAGCAAGGGCTGATTAATATCTTTTATATCAATGTCATGTTGTTTTTTGTAATAATGTATGTATGAGATATCTTCTCCTGTTTGAGTCTTAAAAGTATTTTTTGGTGTAATGTCCCACAATATTTCGTCAATTTTATATGTTTTATTATTGTACCTACAAAAAAAATGTTACATTTTAAAGAATAAGAAAAATTAAGTAATAGAAACCTTGTTAATATACAAGAACCTATGAGCGATTTAAAAGCAGCCTCTTTAAATCTTTCTTTGCAGGTCAGTCTCAAGTCACACAAAACGTCATATACACTTTGTGTTCTTAATACTCTATGTTGGGTATCTAAACACAACATCACTCCTCCTTCATATTCATCCACTGCAATGCAATATCCCGGCAAAACCTCTAATTTGTGTTGAGGTATCATATGACTATGATGAGGATCAAAATGATTCCTACCAACACGTGTAAACATAAGGGCATTCATTATTCGTTTGAATAAGACATTATATAAGTGGATGCATTCACCCAATCGCTTCTTTTTCTTAAATGTAACTATCATGGTTACTGAATGATCATCATTAGGATGTTGTGACGTAAAGATAGTTATAACTTCAGGAAGTTTAATAGGTAGGTAGAGACATGATCCTCCATCAAATACCTTAACTCCACCCATTTTTGGCATGTGCATATTAAGTATTCTTACACGTAAACCTTTGGAATCAATTTGAGGTTCAAATCTTAAATCATATTCAAATACTCCACGTTCTGCTTCTACACTCAGTCTAATGTAATTTGCAGTTATATTAACACTGCTTCCACTTGAACCTAAATTAAAATATTAGTAAATGTTAAAAGAAACCTATTTTTCTACTTTTACCTAAATAAGAGCAAGGTGTTGAAATTGTTGATGCTGCTAAAGACTCGGCAAGCCTAGAAACCCTTGTTTCTGTTTCAGGAGTAACCCTTTCTGACTCAGAAATACTTGTAGCGGATGTACCAGCACAAGGCTCAATTCCTATAGGCTGTTTGTGTTTTGCTTCAACAAGCTTCTGAAGTAAAGCTGCTCTGCCTCTTGGCTTTGGTGGTGGTGGCTCAGAAGTTGATGCTTCAGAAGGCTCTTTTCCTGGACGAATCTCTTGAGCTTTTCTAATTGCTTCAATAAGTTTTGCGCCCCTTCCCTTTGTCGTAGGAGGCTTTCCTTCCATTATTATTACAAAACTATATTACATTAAGAACGTCACACTAATTTGGTATGAAAAAGCAGACCACTCAGTTATTTTATAAAATCACAATATAGACCATAGATAATAGATATAGACCGTAACAAAATACAAACCATAGATACAAACACAAAACACGAAAATATTAAAGTGACCATAGACATATATTAATGGACGTGCATTAGCCGTATTGTCGTTGTAATAATTTCTTGGCTCGAAAAGTGAGGTAGATGGCGTATGGCTTCGGACTAGTGCTATCTCTTTCATGACATGCTTTCGCACTATCGTGAGAGATCGATATTGTCCGAAACTTCGTTCCATCTCTTCCTTCTGTTATACCACAATTATGACCAAAGCATGTCCATTAGTAAACGTCCATGAAAGTGACCATAAAATGACTGAGATAAACCTTTGAAACTTAAATCAGAAATCATGAAGTTTGAGAGAAGGCGAACGATCGCTGTAAAAATACGGAGAAAATAAGTGAGGCGCGGCAATCGCTAAATTGTCTCAATAAAAACCGGGCTGTTGTACGCTAATTTAAAATGATCTATCAACGTTTTATATAAGTTTATGTAAAATTATTCATTAAAAGAAAAAAAAACAAGAAAATTGTTATTTTTTTTGGCAAGATGAATAATACTCTATTAAAAAATATAGGCCTCAAATTATAAACATTCGACTATGAGCGATTACTTACAAAGCCTAATCGTTCGGCTTATGATCTATCTCTCAACTGTTACTATTACTACTAACGAGTACAAATAAATGTTAATTTATTGAAAAAATTATAATTATCTATTAATTCCTTTGTATTATATAAAATAATGATAATTCAGTGATATAATTCAATTCAATTCATAAAAGTATGCACTTTTTCGATGTTTTCTTATGACGTTATCACATAAAATTATCCTCCGTAAACCGACTTTACAGACAACCAATTTTTTAATCTAATTTTCAAATTTATATACCATAAAAAATTATGAAAACAACACATACACCATTAATACCTAACTTCGCAGATACTATTTACTGACATCAGCGCGGATGGTGGCTGAAAAATAAATTATAAAATCTACATATTACTTGGACAGGCGGACTAATGCACGTAGCGATCGTTCTCCTTCTTTCTAACCTCTATGAATGGTACTGATGAAGACATAACCTTATAACTTTAACCTGAATATCGTGGAATATATGTTATTGTTATTGTCGATTAGTAACCACGTCTAGGATTAGTAATGTCTAGAAATGAATTACTGGAGCTGTATAAAAGTAACGTGGAAGAAATTAGAAAATATGCAAGTAACTGCAACATTAGTGATGAAGAAATAGATGGAATATTCCAAAATTGCCTTAAAAAAATATGCAAAAGACCCCATATTCATCAAAAGAATTCCTATAATTGTTACAAATGTGCGTCTTTTTTCATAAAAATAATATTCAGTATAATATTCCTTTCTGTGATCATATACATCACACTAAATGTTCATCAGGCTACATCCAGTATTGTACTACGAAATGTGCAATCATTTATTTATCCAGGACTTAAATTGCTACGTTTTTTATCTGTGCCTATTATAAGTAAATTTCCTTGGATGACAAGTTAAGTTCATCCACATATTTCACACACCTATAGTAATTAGCAGTGTTTTAGGCTTGTATGATGAATCATGTCTTGTTCACAATCCATTTTTCTTTGTAAACGACATGGAATGTTGGCCCTGTGAAAATGTCCACTCTGTTTTAGATATTACTGGAGTTCAAAACAAAAGTATCATAGAATCTGGTATTCCATATCTTGTTTTTGTAAGGTTTTTTATTGCATTTCTCAAACAGAAATAATTGTAATTTATAATTTTAGACAAATCAAAAGGTGGTGACATTTTCTGAATTACAAGCCATATATAATGCTCACAAGGAAATTTTTGATAGTAACGCTTATCAAATAAAATCCAGTAATTCTAGTATTGAAACCATTAGGGATCTTTTTTTCAATTATAGAGAAAGTACCATGGACTCAAAATTTCATGCAACATGGAGAATAAATAGAATGGCACCAGCTAAATTAATACGTAAAGTATTTCCAAGGCCCCAAGTAATCAATAGATGGTCTGGTCAAAGTATAGAAAGGTTCATTTTTATGGATGGTCCTCATACATCCAGTTACTTGTTCCCTAATCCTGAATGCAGTTATGTGTTTCTTATTCAAGGTTCTGGTAATAGAAATATTATTTTAAAACCTACCATGGAATGTTCACACTCTTGTAAAACAATATCAGTCATTTTGCATCAATCTCAAGTTTGTAAGTCATTTTTATTTAGAATTATAAAATTTATATTGAATGGAATAATATTGTTTCAGTGTGGTATAACTGGTGGTATTGGAGACCATTAAGTCTTCCAGTTAAAAATTCAACTGAGGTGTCAGTAACTTATATGAATTCTTACTGTTAAATATAACAGAAAGATTGAAATATTCAGCCTAATTTATCTATTTTACATTCTGATGACTTTATGAGTATTTGTAGTTTTTGAGATAAGCTATTTTTGATAATCATTAGTAAGAAATAAAAAAGAAATTGAGTGTTTATTCCTATTAGCTATTGGTGGGCAGGCAGTCCCTTTGCTATGCTTTAATGAAAAGCCAGAGGATGGAGTCTCCTTTTAGATATCATGGAAATGAATAAGTGGTAGTTGGGGAAAGACTGTTGGGATAGACGAAATGAAGATGGTAGAAATAAATGCATATCAGTAAAATATTACTACTGGTGACATTTCAAAAGCTAAGGTATTATCTGTACTAGAGACCTATGGACAAAGCCTCGCCGCTCAATATGAATGAAAATGAAATTAAGGATAAGTAAATTATAGTTAATCAGTTGGTTTTCTATTAATTTAATTATCATTTCATAAATAATGCAATCACGTTGGAAATTCCTAAATATACTATATCACAGCCAACAAATAAATATTTAAATTAAATTCGTCATGTTAGTTTTGCACTAAAAATATCTAGTTAATCTTTTAAGGAAATATATGGTCCATCTAATAGACACTAAGGCATAAGAACAACAAACAATTAAATAAATGCCGTAAATATTTACATTACATACATAACAAATTGCATGAATTGCTAATATTAGAATTCCACTTAATACGTTCACACTTTCTTTACATTCTGCCCAGTTTAGAGTTCCAATAAATTCACTGTACATTGTTTCTTCATAATGAATTAATATTCCATTACCTAGGCCGAATATAAGACAGAATATTATAATGATGTCGTTAGATAAACCCACAGTGGCTGCTGTGAAAAAATAACAATTACTTCATTACTTATTTGTTATTAATTTTGTATTCCTTACGTAATAAACTAAAATTGACTACTAATAAGCCCACTACGAAAATTACGTGTTTTTGTGTTTTGGATAAATTAGGAAACCAAGGAATAGCGAATAAATGAAATATCCACATTACAGAAATTGCTGATAAAACTATTGGACAATCCACAGCGGACAATATTAGATCTTCGTCTTTTTTGTTCTCCAGAAGAAGATATGGAATTGTAGTTACAAAAACTACAATTCCGAAAGTGATCAACGATTTAGTTATAAGCAATACGTAAAATTCTCTTAAACTAAAACAAAATCTCATTTTTTTCAGAATTTTTTCTTGGAGAAAACAGAATATTTCTTTCCTGCACCTCTTGTATTTATACTTTTGATAAGGTGAAAGATTAATAATGCTGCAGCACTTCATCCGATTTGCGTAACAATCTTCATTAATTATCGTTTTTGAATCTGAATCTACTAAGTAAATGTTATTTACTGATGATTTATTAATTTCGCGTACAGACAGAACGAGTGGTTCGGAAGTGTTCTCATCTTTTACGATAATTTCTTGTAACTTGTCGCTAAGTACACTCAATCGGTTAATGTGGCTATTTTCTTCATCTTCATCCGTTTCACTTTCTTCCGGTATTTGAGGCAAAACGTGGACACCCATTTCATTTTTAAAATCACCAAGTTGGGCTATCTCATCATCTTCACTTTCTTCATCCACTGAAAAATTATTACTACTACTACTACTATTATTTGATGAAGAGCTGGATGTTTCATTTGAGTCGAATTCAACAAATTTTTTTCTAGTAGGGGAACCTAAATCGATCATTTCTTGACTATTTATTAGTCTAAAATAAAAACATAAGATATACATTACGTTAAAATAAATATCGGCTTTTTAAGGCACAGCAAAACATTAAATATAGATTGTACAAACATTATTACCCCGGAATAGTCCTGTATCGAGATAGAATGCTATTAGATGAACCAAGTACATGATTGTCATCATTTTTAATTAAAATAATTGGTATAATGTGAAGTATTATCGCAGAATGAATTGTTTGCGCCTTAAATGATCCAACCCACGGTATAAGCAAGCCAATGAGATGAGGAAATACGAGTAAACTTATTGCTCTGGATGTTTGAGAAACAATTTCCATTATTTTTAAGTGCGACTGAAACTCAATTTCAGCTTCTAATTTTATTTGAGTTAATATAATACTTGTAGAAACACCTACAAAGAAGTTTTTAAACTTCTATGTATGCACATAGTAATTTTTAGATAACTTACCTCCAATTACACCATAATTTAAAATTTGTAATTTAACCCACGGCAGACTAAAAGAACAGATAAAAATTGAGAAAGTTAAAAGCAATGCCGCTATTAAACAAATAATCTGACTGTGTTCGTTTTTTCGACCTTTATGAATTAATTCGCTTATGGGATCTACAAATTAAAGGAAAATTTTAGTAAAACACTTTACAATATTCTTTCTTACTTGTTATAAACCAAACTGTAACAAAAGTTATTGGTGTCCACAATGCAAATTGGTACGATAATAATTCACCTCTAACAAACTCTGTGAGGTAGATTCCATAACTTAGAAATAAAGACGTTAATAAAAACTGAAATAAATAAATAATCAATTAAGAAATTGTGTTAACGTAATATGATCGTATTAATTTTAGTATCATAAAAATAGATGTATTTTTAATAGGGTGTTTCGTATTTTAATTGATAAAGATAAGTAACGACAAGAAAGGACCTTGACGGAAAGACTAAGACTTTACAGCCGTCGTTTTTTGAGCAGAGCTCAATATTTGGGTTCGATTGCCGAGGTCTAGGATCTAATGTTTCGCCCACTTTCTGTGGCTGGCATCCCAAGGAAGCAAGGATGTAAAATCCTTCGCTATGTTTCCTGATGATACCAACTACAGCAGTGAACAACTCCATCGATGCTCCCTGAAGGCAACCGAACCCTATACAACAGCCGTCAAGCCCGAATATCGAATTCTTTTAAAGAAGTATCATATTTCTTATAACGTTTCTTTTAAAAGCTTAAGCAATGGGTGACTTACCTCTCCTAATAATAATTTAATTGTAGAAACAAGAGGAAAATTCCAACTTTTAGTTGAATCAACACTGAAATCACATGATTCACTTGGATTTAAATTAATATGTAAACTAGTCCTTATTAAATCCATTTTTGTGGTAAACACTACAAAATTGAAATAAAAAACTACCTAAGCACGACGCTAAATAGGCGTATAAGATACAACTCGAGTTACATTAACGTTCTTATCTGTAAGACAGTAAAGATAAGATAAACAAAATTAAAGGTAGAAATTTAATTACAATCATAAATACCTACTAAACTATTTATTGTAATTTTATATGTAATTTAAAGTTGGAAATATTAGGGTGGATTCATTCATACATAAGTATTTAATAAACCCCTTATTAAATTAGTGCTTTATTTTTACCTAAATATTAGCTACAATTCCTTACTTTCTTTAAATTGAACTTAGTTTTTTACTCTTTAAAATACTACTTATGAAAAATTCTCCAGCTTTGTAAGAGCTTCGTACTAACGGGCCACTTGCAATGTACAGGAAACCCATTTCATTTCCTACATTTTCCCAATGTTTAAATTTGGTAGGTGTGACATATTCTACAACTTTTAAATGTCTCTTTGTAGGCTGCATATATTGACCTAAGGTGACACAATCCACCCCAGCATTCTTTAGATCTTTAAGAGTCTGTTCCACTTCAGCATCAGTCTCTCCCAAACCCAACATTATCGATGACTTTGTAATTATCTCTGGATTATGTTTTTTTGCATCTTCCAAAGTTGATAATGACTGCCTATTGAATACAATTAAAACATCAAAGGTGTTTATTATGTTGTTACTTCCATTTATACCTATATTTTGCCCTTCTGTCTCTCACAAAAGGAGTGAGACTTTCTACAGTTTCAATATTATGTGCATAAACATCTAATCCTGAGAGCGCAATTATTTTTACACATTCAGATTTTCCACTAAAATCAGGTACTAAGCATTCCACCATTATATTACCATTCCTAAAATTGCAATTAATTATAACCAAACTATATGGATACATATAGACATATCTGCTTACAGTTTCTTTAATTCTTTAACAGTACTGGCAAAATGGTTAGCTCCACCATCTGGCAAATCTACAAGGCAAATATTAACATAAATAGTATACTTGCTTTGTATTTTTTTTATTACTAATTTTAATAAGAGCCTACCCTTGTTTAATGAAATAAACATCATACAAATTGATACAAATAATTAGTGCTCACACTGAAATAATTACCATCTCTGTCTACAGATGTTAAAACAACATAATCCAAGGCCCATGAGGCAATAGCTGTAGCAGTATTCAATGGTTCATCAGGGTTTAGAGGTGGGGGAGCCCTTGATGTTTTTACTGAACAGAATCTGCAGCCTCTGGTACATGTATCACCCATCAGCTGAATTTTCAAACAGTTTGTTAATTTTAAGACCTTACTATAAATAACAAACCATTATTGTTGCTGTAGCTGTCCGATGCTCCCCTCCCCCCCAGCATTCACCAATGTTTGGACATCTAGCTTCTTCACAAACAGTGCTTAACTTTAACGACCTTAATTGTTCTTTTAAATGACTGTAGTTTGCTCCTTTTGGTATCTCAGTTTTCAGCCAAGGAGGTAAACGTAATCTCTCACTTTCCCCTTTTGCTCTACGAATTTTACCATCATAATGCTCCCATTCATCTGCCACATTTTCTGTTTCTTTTTTACTTAAAAATGAATCTAAAGCTGGACCTTTTTGGAGTCGTTTTCGGAATTTTTCTATACGACTTGGAGGTGTTGTATATTGCAATCGAATTAGCTAAAACGTATTCCGATAAATATACTGCATGTTTTCTGCAAAAAAATAAAACATTAATTTACCATTTTAAACGTTTTAATTTCGTTAAACATTTTTGAAA